CTATGGATACTATTGTCCCTACAAAGTTTCAGCCATGTAACTTATGACTTAATTTTAGGCCCCCTGGGGCCTACTTTAAGGTGCTACGAATTTGGGGGGTCAAACCTTTTGTAACTGATGACCATATTATTTTGTCATTAGCTCCTGGACTAACTGTGTGTCGTCAGCGTAGAGATGGAATTCAACACCATGTTTCCTTACTAGATCGCCCAAAGGGGAAGTGTACAAACTAAACAGTATGGGTCCTAAAACTGACCCTTAACCGGGACACACTGCTGAAACCCTGTTAAGTAAGACCCAAGCAGTTCAAGAGCACTATCCACAATACCAAAACGTGAAGACAGGCGTTTCAAGAGAATGCTGTGATCGACAGTGTCAAACGCTGCCGACAAGTCCAACAGTATACGGATAACATATTTCTGAGAGTCGATGAATATAGCATGATGTCATTTAAAGCAGTTTCTGTACTATGGTACCTCCTGTAGGCGCTCTGAAATGACTCTAACAGATTATTATCGCCAACATGTACAGTTATTTGCTTAGCTACACACTTTTCTATTATTTTCAAAACAAAACCTAGATTAGAGACAGGTATAAATGACTTCAGATCGTTAGGGTTTAGGTTAGGCTTTTTTTATAATTTGGGTAACGTTAGCAGCCTTAAAAATTAACGGAAATGTTGATTCGTTTATAGCTGAGTTTACTAGGCGGTGAATAATAGGGTTGAGTTCAGTCTGCCATTCTTTAAGTAGCCAAGTAGGCAGCGGATCAATCGAACAGGGTATTGTAGCGGACGATTTGATGATTTCAGAAACATGTTCTTCACTTACAGGTTCGAAGCTACTAAACGTAGGTGGTGTGACTTGGTTTTCTGGACAAATGCTATTATTTACATCGGCATGGTGCAAACTGTCTCGTATAACTGAAATTATATTGTTGAAGAATTTCGAGAAACGCTCAGCTAGTTCAAGATCTTCACTATATTTGCAATATTAAATAGTTTTTTTTGGCTATTATCACTGCCTTCAATCTTTTCGGTATAGTATTCCTTTTTTGATTTTTTAATAAGGTGAGTTACTTTGTTTCTGGCCGAACTGTAAATGTCCCGGTGGACATGAAGTTTAGTTTTCTTCCATTATAGATTCTCCGCACCGTTACGTTCCTGTTTAGCTACTCTTATTTCATCATTAAACCACCGGGTATCTGGTATAATTCGAATGGATTTTGACTGCAATGGTAGGTTAGAGTTAAGTAAAGATTCAAGACAATCATTGTAATGTCCTGCTTCTTCATCGACTGATTTCAAAGCATAGATTAGACATAGACTCGAATTAAGTATGTTGTCTTTTAACTGATCAATACACAAAGATTTATATTTTCGATATTTGATATCTTTCGAATGTACTTTGGGTTTTATGATATTGAGGTTAAAGCACACAGGGAAGTGGTCGGAAATGAGTGATCATCTGTTGTCACTACAGTAACAGATAGTTGATCACTTCTCGTCAAAACTAAATCTAATGTATGACCACGAATATGTATATATGACTAGACATCGGGACGTAATATCTGTATACTATAACATTTGTGTATTGAGCTATGTACATTATTTGTTTATCAGAGGTTCGATGTTAATATAAATGATAATTGTGTATTGATCTATGTGTATATCAGATCGTGTATGGTTTATTGCTGTTGCGTATATTGTTTTGTAAATAAAATGTTTATTGGTTTTTGTTTGTTTTATGAAAATGTTTATTTTATGGTGTGTCTCTTGGTTCTTTTTTTAACGTCTGCTTCCACAAAAGTGATATCGCAGATAATCTGTGGCATATCGTTTATGTTTTATACATTATTTATACAATACATGTATGTTGATTTTAGCGTGTTCGTTTGTAATGCACGATGACCGTTTATGCATATTATCGACCATTTGATTTTTGATTGGAGTGTGTGTGAAAAGAATGTGTGTGTGTGTGTTTTTTAATAATAATCTTTTTATGTGTGTCAATGGGGGGGGGGGGGCTCTTTAAATTAATTATAACAATTAGTATTCATATCCTTTTGCAGTCCGTCTTCAAACAGTGTCAGTTAAACAGTTTGAAAGATTGTTGTCCAAGGATTCATGGTTTCCCATTTAAAATAGTTCTAAAAATTATGCTGTCAACAGAAAAAAGCAGGAGGGAAGAAGCTATCACACATAACACTGGCCGTCCGGGAATATACAATTGAATAAACAGCATTGTTGATTATGCATTGAGGTGCCACAATTTCACGCCAATTCGTCACGTTTCTTTGATTACTTGAAAAAAATCATCCATAAAAACAACCAGTTAAACACGACTTCCACCATGTGTAACTGGCGTAACCTTCCCAATAATGGAATAATACAACTAAAGCTTCATCCGTTGAGAAAAAAATGGTCGTGAACATGAAAAGCACGCCAAGATAAAGACGGGGTTTAAGGATTACCTGTGCTAGATGAAGGATACATTTTAAGCGACCAAGAACTTTGTAAACTTTGGTACGGTGTAAAACCTGTAACGATGAGCGTTTACTTTGGATATAAACTATCTTTATATTTTGTATCGCAATGCATACTAGTGTTAATACGTAAGTTAATTTCCCTTTTTATATTCTTAGTCAAACAATTCCAATGATTACAGATTGAATTTGAGACGACAGCTTCACTCTAACTCGTTTTAAAAGGCATATGTAGATAATCGTTCTTAAAGATACATTATGGAAGATTAGATAAAGAGCTGACAGTTCTCACTATAATGTAAAGGGAATATGCTGAAAATTTCAGTCAGATTGCTCCACTCTCAACTGAGATATTAGCGATTGAATTTTATGCCTAGTCCCGATCATCATTACTAAAGTCGGTACGATTATCAACGTTTGGATTTAATCAGATACAATTCAAATCCAGTGAAAATCCGACGCATGCTTGTTGATCTACATGCTAAATTTAGGGAGGCGGAACTTTGCAAGCAAATCTGTAATGATTTTATCCTATGGTAAAGGGGTATAAACTTTCTGAAATGATACTTTAGTGAAAGCAAAGATTGCTGTCGAGTTGAAGTCGAAGATTTTTAAATAAGATTCGACATTATTTTTTTTTAATAGCTCAGCGACTGTCGAGGAACTTCACTCTCTCTGGGAAATTGTGGGCTAGGCACTTGACTAGTACTGATGATGATCTTGGTAGATGCATACGTACGCGACGCGAAAATCTGCCAAGACTCTAAAACTACATTGACATAACGTATCCCGTATTGCCGTTCAAAAAGAAAACCGAAAACGTCCGGCTTTCAAGGCTGGATTGAGTTTCTATTTGGGGAGATGATGTAATAAGGGGAAAGTACTCGCTGATTGGCTAAAGCTCGGCTCACTAGCCGACATGCCGGACGCACTTTACAAAAATACGCTCTGGGAGCAATCAATCCGGCTTAACGGACGTAGTTGTTTTTGTGCGCAATACGTCGTGCCGGATTCTATTTCAACCCTTTCTCTAAAAATGACTAAAGTATACCAGAACGTATTCACCCACGTATTTACAGATACGGATACGGATGTAGTATGAACGGACCTTAAAGCTGCATTTCCTTTAGTCCGGCTCCGGTCCGGCTTCGGTCCGGGAGTAGACATAGCAAACGGCAGGTTGTGTATCCTTATATGCGGTTATTCAAGCGGAAGGGCCCTCTTTTCAACATGGCACCGGCATTGTCAAGGTTCGTAAAAGAAGAAAAAACATTGATAATATTGGCTGCAGCATACAAACTGTGTTTCCTTATGTGCGTTTACGAACACGGTTCCACATGCGTTTCCGTACCGAAAAACAGTACGGGACGCCGCATACAGAACCGTATCCGCACCCGCACATAAAGAAACACTCTTACTAAAATTCTATGAAAGTGTTTTTTTCCGTATCCGCAACCGGACCGGATCCGTACTAAAGGAAATGCAGCTTAAATTGGTGAATTAAAAACTATAAGCCACCTCACAAAGAATATGTGTCAAAATGAAGGTACATTGTCAGTTGAGGTATACACACTTTTTTCTTTCGTTTGAAATAAACCGGAATTTCAAGTCAACTGACATTTGGCCCTTCGCGTGTCTATATATGGCGTTCGTGATGAAGAGGCGTCTGGTTTGAGAAAACAGACCGTGTAACTTAGTCAATTGCTCTCTAAAAATCAACACAGCAGCGTGGTGCTTAGTTGGTTCAGTTTATGTCGATCCAACGGCAATGTTTTGTTCAGACAATGATAATCCCAATATTTCCAGAAGTCGGTGTCAAGTTGACTTGACCATTTACCCAAAATAGTTCGCGTCTCTAAAAAAGGAGTTTTTAAACTCTGTGTGGCTTACACAAATAATTGCCGCCTCATCCAAACTTACCGTTTTTCATGTATATTTTTTCTTTAACCCGCAATGTCATGCCAATGATCTTTATAAGAAATCACTAAAATAAATCTTTTATTTTTATACGTGCGTATATTACCGTCGCCCCTGTCTGTGTGTGTGAGTCTGTGTGTCGCCAGCCTACAGGCCGCAATTCGATCGTCTTGAAAAATTTTCGTACTTATTCCTTATACACTAATGATGGTCCGTGTTGTTTTTCGCGCATGCCTGACAGCCAGGGACAGAGCCACACCCATTTCTTGTATTTGTTTGTTTGTCGTCTACAGGCCGCATTTCTTAACGACATAAACTAAAAAAAAACAGAGAACGCTATTTAGTACACATGGTAAAGTCTGACACAAACACTGCAGCTAGAACCGTATTCAAACAGTTGTATATTTGATTAAAAAGTTCGATTTTGAGATACTTTTTAAAACCTTTAATAGAATTTGGGCTTTTGGTTTTGTTTGATATTGAATTCCATAACTTCGGAGCACCGACTGCGAAAGATCTATCGCCCGAGGTAGTTTTTGAAAAGGCCTAATTAAGAGACTGTCTGATTGTGATCGAGGGGTTCTGCACAGTTTATTGGTGTTGAGAAGGTCTCTAAGGTATTTTAATATTCTGCTCTAAATGATCATTCTTCGCCTTAAAAGACGAAGAATCGTCATTAAGAGCAGAATAGTAAAGTGGCTAAGGGACAGGAAAATGACTATCATTGTTTTTTTAAATATTCACACTGTTTTAGTAGCCAAGTAGGAATGGGATCTAGCGTGCACAATGCTAATGATGATGCTTTATCTCAAGATCAGATACGGTTCTATATGTTGAGAGTTTCACGCCAGAGTAAGTAGTCAGCGAGTGGAATTGATCGTATAGTATCAACTTTGGTTGTGAAAAAATTAACAAAATCATTTCCCAGAAGTTCAGAGTCCCGATTTACTGGGAGAGTCGGTTCTGGTCCGTCTTTATTTAGGATTTTACTGATAATCTTGTGAATTTCACGGGTATTACCACGATTCTCATGGAAGAATACTGTTCATAACATGGCGACGTTTTGCATTTCTTATTGTAGTGTTAGTCTCATTTTTTTTACATATTATATATATATTTGTCTGTGTATTTCTAGATTTGATTTTCACCACTGTTTTTCTGCTTTTCTTTTTCTTCTGTTTACATTTCTGAATTTCATCATTAAACCAATTTCTATTTGATCTTATAATTATACTTTTAGTTCCAACCGGCGCATGTCTATCTAATAATTTAATAAGAATGTTATTATATTGTTCAATCTTATGACGAATGTTATCATGTTCTTTGATCTGTTCATATGCTCTTAAGTTATGTCGGCTTTGAATTGCTCTACATCGATGTTTCTAGTTTTTCTGAAAGATATAGTGCGTTTTATTGGGCCTTGGCCCTGTTTCTCGAAATCTTAACTAAAGTTAAAATCCAAATTTTAGTAGATACTTCAATTTTGATTGGCTAAGCACTGAAATCAACCTTATATTATCCAATCAAATTACTAAAATTTAGATTTTAGCGCAGTTAAAATTTCGTGAAACAGGCCCAGGTTTATAAAGCGCCAGTTTAGAGAAAACACATGTAATGATCGGACATTAAGTCATTTTTAACATGAATGGAATTTAGTAAATTATCATTGATGCTGAGTAAGACTAAATGCGTGATGTGATATGGAGGTGAATATTGAAATCCCCAACTGTAACTAAACGCCCCGACGTGGAAGACAAAACATAGAGTAGATCAGAAAATTCTTAGAGAAATTTTCCTAAGTTAGATATGTTAATTTTTTATGCTGGAGACCGATAAAGCTACCACAAGATGGATAATTTCACCTTTGCACTGAAATCTCAGCTGGGTATAGATGCCGTCATAGACTTTCTGTGGATCAGCTTGGAACTTGGCCTATGTATTCCTTATAGCCTAATCTCGGCAACTATTGGTTTTAGTGCACGTGCCGTCCAATATGGGCAGAGCCATGTCCATTTTTTGTGTTTAGCGCCGGAAGGTCACAATTCTGAATGGCTTATCTTGGTATACTTATTCCTTATACCCTAAGAACGGCAACTATTGATTTTGGTGCATACCCACCCCCACCCCCTTTTTTGGGCAGCGCCACACCCACTTTTTGTTAATAGGGCTTGATCCCCCTCCCTCTTTGGGCGGTGCCACACCCACGTTTTGTTAATATTTTGTCAGTAAATGATATACAGGTTGCAATTATTAACAGATTTGGATCCAAATCGGAATGATCCAGCTTAAGATTGTACCTATTTATATTTGTCCATGTACAAACCTCAGGGGCAGAGCCACGCTTAATTTTTGTGTTTTTTGTCTACAGGCTGGAATTCTGAATGGATCATCTTGGAACTTGGCATATTTTTCCCTTATACTTTTAAGGATAACAATTATTTATTTTGGTGCATGTCTCGACCCCCAGGGGCGTGGTTCACCCACTTTGTTGTTAATTTTTATCTGTAAATACTCAACAGGTTGAAATAATTAACAGATTTTGTTCAAATTCAGCATACCAATCATTTCATAAACAGGGTGGTACGTATTTATATTGTTCCATGTCTATACCCGAGGCAGAGACACGCGCAATTTTTGTATTTGTCGTCTACAGACTGCAATTCTGAATGGATTATCTTGGAACTTTGCATATTCATTCCTTACACCGTAAAGACAGGAGTTATTTATTTTGGTGCATACCCCGACCCCCTGCGGCAGGGTCACACCCACTTTTTTGTTAATATTAAGTCTGTAAATTTGGCCTTCTTTGCCTCTTGTCATATTACAGTCATTGCAGCCATTTCATATTTCATTCTCTTTATTTTAAGATACATACTCCTGGCATTGTTTCGTTTGATTAGACCTAATCCCAATCAACACTGTCGTAATGAAAGCAAATTTCTGTTCCAAATTATGACTGGTCAATAGTCCAATTAACAACCAATACCTAACTGCGTAACAATATCATACGGGTTTAAACAGAGCTCCACCTATGTTTACACAACGTTAATACGTCATGACTCACGAAATTTATTACGCGCAGTTAACCAGTGCATAGCAAAATAAATTGCAGAAAAAACTAATTGCGTGACAAACGAGGCTATCAGAACGACTACAATGTAAACAATACTGTTTGGAGACGAACAATATTTTCACCGTTTTTAACCCCTTAAATCACTGTCCAAATTATTAGGAAAAATCCCAGATTAAACGAATGGCTGGCACCTTGCTGTACTTAGAAGAGATTTGATTGAACGGGAAGAATAGACACACTCCCTCAAAAGCTCAAATATCAGAAGTCAATCCAGCAATAGCCAGAAAGGGATTTCTCAGGTCATTGCTTTAGGAATACGGTTAAGATATGGCGTTGTCGTTCTAAAGTATATTCTGTCTAATTTCAGCTTTTCTAACTATAATAAATGGTGAACAGTTATGTAAGGGTAAACCGTTGATGTATAATGGTCGACGTTGTGCTTCAACAACAGTCTACCATGACGGTAGAAAAGGGGCCTGTGGATGTGGTCCTGAATGGTTTGATAAACAGTTTCCCTGGAATGGCGAACTCTATACAGCCGCAGTCAATCAAAGATTCTTTGATTTTGAAGGAACGATGTGGTGTGGTGATCGATGTGGAGAATGTTATGAGCTTACACCAACAGGTACTATAAATAAATTTCGACATCATAATTCAAAAGGGAGCCACCATGGCCCAGTGAGTAAGACGCTGGCTGACTAACAAGGAGGTCGGGGATTCGATCCCCATGTTAGTCGAGAAAGTTCCTGCCGATCTTCCCCCATCTCAGTCGTTCAGGATGGAGGGACTGACAAGGACAGTGTCTAGTCGTTCGGATGGGACGAAAACCCGGGGTCCTGTTTACGCTTTGCCATGCAGGTAAAAGGACGGTCCGTGGCAGTTGTCCATGCAGAAAAGTAGGACGTTAAACCCTATGCGCACTTCCAAAATAAAATAAGATCGTTTATGACATTATGTCGAACAAAACAACATACGTGATACCAATTTCTAACCACTGACGTTGATCATTTATCCACACAATGAATCTTGTATCGCAGAGGTTTCCCTATAAGACTTAAGAAAACAATCTCCGGTATGAAAGCGTGCATTTGAAAATAAATTCCTGTTCACCACTAGATGTTGACATTTAATAAATAGACAGTGCAGTTAATACGAATGTCTTATACCGCACATGCCTACTAAGCGTTTCTTTGGACTCATTAAGACACTGGCACACTTAAGAAGAGTTCCCTGGTAAATTACCGTTGTAGGGATGAGAGCACAGTACGAAAACAACGACGCCCCATGTACACGGTGGCATGCACATAAAAGAAGCCTTGCCCAAGTAAAATTTCCCTCATATCGTATATCCGTCTTCAGTGTCAATAACCCGTTTGTTAAACAAAATTAGGACGCTAAATCCCATTTTATGGCATTTCATATTTTGGCACTTGTCATAATAATACGCTTTTGATCTTTATTTTTACAGGTGGATATATCGATGGTCAAGGTGAGCCACCGCGCTTCTTGCACCCAATCACTGTCATGATAACAAATTTATGTCCAGCAGAACCTCCAAATTTACAATGGTGTGCACAGCATCACTGGAATCAACTAAATATGTATGGATATATGACCCATTTCGACCTAGAAAACGGTCGTCAACAGATCAGTGTATTAGGATGGGATAATCCCGAAGTTACCTACAAGAGAGTTCAATGCACTGGGAAATTTGAAAGTTTGTATGAACAATGCCAGTGCTCAAAAGATTTCGCCTAATTAATTGCAATAAATAGTGGATTTTTTTATTTAAAAAAAAATATGGTTTGTTAACATTTTGTTTAGGAGATTGCCAATGCAACGTTAGTAAGTTTCGGAATCGTTTGAAACAATATTGACCAGGCTTTGTGTAAAGTCGTGAATTAGCTAGATCGTAAGAGTTATTGGATTAATCGTGAATTAGAGCCACTTTTCACACAGATGGGGCTTCTTGGTACGTCCGTGCTGGTTCTGAAGTCAATTATGTGGATACATATGAAGTTAACTCCACCAAATGTGGATGAAACTCACAGGGTGATAGCTCCATGATTTAAGATCGACATATTCTTAATTTTAATGGTGTTTTACCTAATGCGCCAATGAACAATCCCACCAAGTTTTACAAAATTGTATTGAACTTTGTCCAGCATCCCGTTCACAAGCTATAAAAGTCAACATATGAACAGAAAGATGATTGCTAAACGCATTCGAATTTTAAAATCCGAAAATTTTGAAATTCTACAGGGGTCTTCCTTGTGCACTAATGAACAATCTCGCTGAGCTTTAACATATTCTATCAAGAACTTTAGCCTGTATTTCTGAATATTCACAGGGTTCCGCCCGCATTGGGCGCCTCTGACAACCCATTAAGTTAAAAATAATTGCTCTATCGCGTATGAAAGTCTATAAGTCAAAATATGACCGAAAAGATAACTCCGCAAAAAGGGTTAGAAATGTACGATTCACAAATGTTGGAACAATCCTACTCATCCCTCACTCCTGGAACATTGCCATTTTATGGCATTCCCAAGAATACATAACCGGAAAGTAGTTCTGAAAATCCGCTTCCCAGGCACGCGCCCACCACATCCCTCGAGTTCAAACCACTCTGATCAGCGGTGGATCTTCTGCCTAACACCGTGCCCAACCGCAGCAACTCCCACTGAAGCCTAGCTCACAAATCGCCTTACGGGCAGTTTACGGGGAAATTGTTAGTAAACCCGGGCATGGGCCTTACATCACTTGCGTGTGTTTGGCACCGTTGAAGATCGCAGATTGGCCGTAGAGACTCTTGGCCCTGCACATACAAAATTTGGCTGGTCTGCGAGCTACCAAACCCTACGTACGGCAGGTTGTGAGGTAGGCTTTACTATAATTCAGTTAAAAATATTCAGATGCCATCGTTTCGGTAAGACCTACCGTCACTCATAACATTTACAAACTTTCAGATTGGTTGCCTTGTAACGAAATAATATGGGCGTATGAAACAACGTTATAGTTTGGTTGGGGGGGGGGGGCAACAAGCATTAATATCAATAAAGCAGGACGGCGTTTGAATTGCGCAGCATTCGCAACTTACCAGTATCAGCAGTTCAAGATTCATCACAAACGAATAACGAATATTCATCATGTTTTGGAAATTTTATAATTCGAAATCGGACGCGGTCAATATAAAATACGTATTCGTAAATCTTTGTTGGGTACAAGTACAATATACCTTGAAAACAATTCTAGGCGGCTATCAAACGGGTTTAGGTTCCCTTACGTTCAATATGCTGCCCCCACCCCCAACACAATTTTCAGTGTATGGTTAAGATGAAAATCTCGGAGATAGTAGGTGATATATCAAGCTTATTATAATGTTACATTTGTTTTTCTGTAAATGACAATAGGCAAGATCATGTCTTTATTTGTCCACTCCTTACATGTGTAATACTGAGCGCCATGGAAAACGCATCACTTAGTTTTTCGTATAACAAAATGATCCTGTAATCATATCTTATTTATTTTGCTTCTTATTGTGAACAATATTCAAATGGGAACACATCAATAACAACACATTTGTACACTTATGGATGTTTAATCTGAAATCAAGGGTACAAAGTCAGAGGGGTCAAAACCAAAAGTACGACACAGATGACAGTAGCGCGTGTGTCCTCCACGGGCCATCATCACAGTAGGCTACAGCATTAACGCGACCCCTGCAAATGTGTAGGGCGGTCCGGTGATGAAATGTGAAGCCTCCCCACATCATTACACTTCCCCCACCCCATCGATTCGTTTCGAAGACGCAGCAGTCTGCAAGACGTCTCCACACACGTTGACGGCCATCAGCGTGATAAAGATGAAAGCGACTCTCATAACTGAAGAGCACACTTTGCCAGTCTACTCTTCTCCATGTCTGGTGTCCTTGAGCCCATATCAAACGCCGCTGACGGTGATGATCCCTGAGGATAGCTCCAACATAAGGTCGTCGTGCACGGAGTCCTACTTCTCTTAGACGACGTCTTACGGTGTTTGCACTTACGGGTCCTTGTCTTCCGACGACTGCTGCACCTGTTCGAGTCGCTGGGCGGAATCTGTCACGCAGATGAGTGACCCGGATGTAGCGGTCTTGAGCCTGGGTTGTAACGCGTTGTGGACCAGGACGTTGACGGTCACGTGTTGATCCAGTAATTCGAACACGTTCCACCAGCCTTACAATAGTGGACTGATGAAAATTGAAGTGTCTGGCAATAGCACGTGTAGACATGCCAGCCCTGGACATTCCAATGGCTTCATTCCGTTAATTTTCAGTAAGTCTCGGCATCTCTAGCTCGATTCCTTCACACGTCCAACAACAAATTACGACAGATTGACGTTTCACAGTTCATGTACTGCACATTATGTTGAAAACATGCTTTAAAAGGGCTCACACACAATGCTGCACGTGAATATTGGGGTTTTCATGTGCATCTCGTGCAATTTTTTTTTTTGTGCACACGGGCCGATATTTTTTGCGTTTGGGAGCATTGTGTGAAACAATAGTTCATAGTATTGCATAATATTATACATACAAAACCACCTAGTAATAAAATATTTGGGAAAAAAAGTGATGCGTTTTCCATGGGGCTCAGTATAGAATGAATACGATATGAGGAAAATTATGCCCACATCGGCAATATGGCATACTCTATTTGTATATGGGACCTCTATTTTTGTCCCATCCGAACGGCTTGACGCTGTTTATTGTCAGGCCCTGTAGCACTGACGAGAAACCACGCCGGAATATCTTGAGGAATGTTTTCGGCAAACCCGATACATAGTTTGTGAGCCAGCACCTTACTGAGTCACCGTGGCCAACACTGATATTACATCCGACTGGCTTAAAGATGTTCCCTTCATGTATTTTGCAATAAATCTAAAACACAACAAAACAGGATGCATTTCTAACTTCTGTCAGCCTTAGGATGAAGCTAACTAACTACAAGAGGGATAAATTATCACAGGTTATTGTAGGCAAACAAGAAACTGGTGTAAAGGCTGAAATTAGCTTCTAGAGCATCCAGGGATGAATACAACAACATAAAACCATTTTTAAATGTGGACATATAAGAATAAAGAGTGTAAATTACAGGTGTCTGTCCGTCTCAGCGTTTCTACTATTTACATATAAATTTTTTTACCAATCCTTTCACTTATTCTGCTAATTACTTTTTAAAAAAAAAAAAAATTATATTCTTTGTATATATCACATGTTATTGTCTGCGATTGCCATAAAACTTCTGTGTAAGCAGACATAAAATAAAGCTATTTTCACACACATTACAGGAGGTAAATTCTTTATTTCAGTTTCTACAAGTTTATATGTAATCAGTGTAGACATGATCATTTTAATGACTGAACAAACTACATTTTATCAGACATATTTCTTGTTATTAGTCAATACTATGATTAAACAGAACTATTAACAGATTTTAAGTCCAAGCAAGCATTTATAATTACAAATGATGTAAGTTAAAATGTTATTACAATAGGTGCAGAGCTTTGATTACTTTTGATTCAACTTGGATACTGTAACTTTACAGATAATATTCTTGCACCTGCCAGCATTCAAGATCTATCTACAAAACCAAAAATTAATACCCAGTTTTTGATTTAAACTATAACATAGTAAATTTAGAAAACTGTTTAACTACGGTATAACACTGATTCAAAAGTAAAACAAAAAAAAAATATATATCACCAATTTTCCATAGTGGAAATAAAATAGTACACTATATTTCAGTGTTTTATAATATATATTATTTATTCATAATTATTCCACTAAATATCATTCTACATGTTTATTATTATGGCCTGTGTGTAAAAGAAGCAATTTTTTTAAAGTTTGAATATCTACATAAATAAAATAAAGGGAATTTCTCCTAGTCCGGGCTTAATAACCCCTTGATTGGTCAAACCTGCTACATCTGTGAGCAAGACATTGATTAATAAAAGGCTTGTAACATGATGATAAGATTGGTTAAAATATAACAATATGGTGGTAATATGATAATGTATACATGTGCTCTTTAGGTCACTCAAAATAACACCAGCCTAAATTATATCTCCCGAGCTTTAGTCTTGATCACAGATGTACAGCAGTCTAATACGGGCAACCTGACAAAGCCAAAGTCAAGGACAGTGCATTGTTTAGTATCCTGCATTGCCACATAGCTATGTAGTCATCCTGAATTCATTCAGAGATAAAAGAATGAACAAGAATAAATTCCCTCAGATCAATCATACTTTCTGAGAATCTCAAATGATTCCGATGTTTACATAATTACACAAAAAGGCAGGGCTATAAGTTGATAACTATTTTGTAAAACAATACTCTTGACATTAAGCTCTGGAAGGAATTTCATTCTAAAAATAATTTTAAACTAAAATAGGTAGGTACAATCTTTCTTTTTAAAAGAAAAAAAGAATACAACACCCCATTAGAAAAATATGATTAACTTTACTGGGTATTGTGTGTCATTATTGATATACTCAAAGGCTAAACAATTAACAAAACTTGACAACTGTATCAAATCCATGCCAACTTCGATCTTTCTGGCAGTGTTCACAATCATTCAAGAAGAAAAAAAGACAAGAAAACCCACCTACCAGTAATAGACGATTTTTTTTTAAAAAAACAAAACAAAACTATGTTTAACAAAGACTGAAACAATGCCACCATGTATATCCTATAATGTCAGAACTAAAACATTTTAAAGCACCAAATGGAATTTTTATTGAATCAGTAATTGTGGAAATACTCTGCTGTAAAACTGCAGTTTGTATGTTTTGAGTGTCCACTGTATTTATTTATTTTTTTTTATAAACCATTTTGCCTGTCATTAATAATTGCATCTGTTTATTCATTAATAATAATAAATATAAAAATTTTTATTCACATTTATATAAAAAAAACCCACAATTGCACATGATTTTCTTTTGTTTTGTAAAAATGGAAGACAAAACCATTCAATACACTACACTTATTTTATTGAGTCACGTCAAGTATCAAAAAATTGTTGAAATTCAGTCTTGTTGAATTTTTATTACCGATATCTAATATTGTGTGTTCCTTCAACTGTAGTTTTACAATGAACAAATATGGTCGATTATAAAGAAAATGTTGAAGACGCAAAAAACACACACAATAGATAGCAACCATTTAAAATTTTGTTTGTCAAAAGCAGTGGGTCATACTTTATATTTAACAAATGAACAAATATAAAATGTGTGTAAATTATGGTGAACGCTTATTGATGATTGGACATCACAAGGTACCGATTCATGGTGCATCATGACATGTTTCAAACTTTAAGTAAGTGTTAAAACAACAGGGAGAATGGATATGTAGCATTTATCTAGGTTTACAGAAAAACACCACTCAATTATTAAACTGAAATCTTTTTTTTTTTAAGTTCTTTCTTTCTATAGCTTGAATTAATATGATTCATTGCACTAGACGTCCTCCACAAACCCACTCATAACCACTAGAAACCAAAATAACACTGGTACACAGAATAAAACAAGGTGGGAGGAAGGGCTGTGGTTAATTAATTGATGAGGACCACTAGGATAGTCTTCTTTTTCTCTCTCAATCTCTCTATAGTAAAATGAGCCAATCCCAGCAGGAGTGAAGTTTTTTTTTATAAGCCAATCTCTCATGTCAACTGCTATGCTGCACCAGCCCAGTTCTCTCCCATTGATGTTCCATTTACAGGTCACTCTCACCATATAAGGCAGTGGAGAAAGACATGTAGTCCAGTGCACCAGGAACAGCATCACGACCTGAATAAGGCGCCATTCTTTGAATACAATACTCAGCTTGATCTGGAGGCAATTCTTGACGAAGGATTTGTGCAGTAATGTATGGCTGAAAAAAAAAGGTAGTACAATTAGCAGGTTCATTTTTTTTACATGTTACAAGACCTAGCTTATTCCTGCAAATCTGGTACCACTACAATTATTTATTATTCATGTACATGCTGTTAAAGCAATAATTAGAGCACTGCCATCTATACAATATTTTGTGATCACATGAGAGATTAAAAGTCTGATACCGATGTTCATTTTCAAGGTTGAATCAATACTAAAATATACTCAGGGCTAATATTTGAACCCAAACATCAACAGTAGATAATCTTTTGGCGTGGATTCAGTTGGATTAAAAGAGGACCATCAAAAGATTTTAATAAACACTTATAGGTGGAACTAACTGTCTTTAAATTACCTACAGAGAATGCTGAATGCTGGGAAAATTTTAATTTATTATATCTTTGTAAATACTGAATGAACTTGAACTATTTTTGGACTGACAATTTTTATAAAGATTCCGTTTTCACAATATTGTACTTTGCAAGAGAATCACATGTTGATCAGCGGCTTTATAGGAGCATATTGACAAACAATTATTTTGAGTTTTCCTTTTATATAATTATGCCAATGTGACTAATACTTGAAAAATAATAAGAGCGAAATTGGCCATCGGAAAAGAGAATTCTAATTAAGTGTGATGCCTTTTAAAATGGTTGAGTAACTAAATGTGTTTATCTAAGTTCATTCTCAACTGACTGGACATAAAGTTATAAATTCTTTAGAAATTAAGGGTAACTAAAACACACCCAAAGATGTAACGAAATCAATGGTTTCATGTTCCTTTTAAATAACTATACAAAAAAATACTAACCTTGTCACCAGCCAAGATTTTGAAGGACTGCATTACTTGTTCAGCAGTATCTGTGTCTGCAGTTTCTCTTGTCATAAAGTCAATAAAGGCCTCAAATGTAATAAAACCACTTCTGTTAGGATCAACAATGGCCATAATTCTCTGGAAATCAGCTTCACCCTATCAACATAGTAAATTACATTAAATATCCTATCTTTGTAATGAGATCATTTTAAGACAAAGTACAGATATCTCACTTAGATAGTGTTTGTAGGGGGAGGGGAGAGAAAGAAAAGTTTTACAAGTTTATCAAGTACAGTTATCTGCTGTAAACAATTTTAATTATATGGTAAAGTTCTATAAACAATTTTAAATTAATTAACTGTGCCTGAAATATGGTAGTGTGTCTTGATTTGAAAAATACTGCAAAACAAAAAGTTAGCAAGTGACCTCAACCTGCGCTATTCCTATGAGACTATAAGGATATTAACAGACTGAAGGATTGTATCTCTTACACCAATTGAAAGAGACATCAAATGAAATATGGTTAGAAGATGTCTGATCCGGAAAAATTAACAGAATCAACCATGTTTGGGGTTTTTTTGTTTTTTTTTATGAAATTAAGAATGTCATAAAGATTATTTTATATTCTTACCTGTTTATCATCTCTAATATTATAACCCAAACTAACAAGACATGCTTTAAATTCTTTTGGCTCCAATCGACTAGTTTTATTTTTATCAAAGTGACTGAAGGACATCTTGAATTCATTCATTTGTTGGGCTGAAATACCCTTAGAATCTCTAGTTAAAATCTGGAAAAGAGATAAATGTAAATAGTATTTTAGTATTTTGCTCATCGTAATTAATGAGATGTAAATTCAAGAAATTAATCTCATTTACACATTGATTAAACATTACACAGACGCTTCTTTCTAGGAAATTCTTTCAACACATGGGTGTGTGTGTGTGTGTGTGTGTGTGTGTGGATGACTGAATGGTTAGCGCTGTATCATAAGGTCTGTTATTGAGTCAACTGGCGTGGTTTCGATTTTTCGGTTGTATATGACAAAGGATCGCCTGTCCAACCTCATAGGTTTTCTCTCGGACCTTCGGTTTCCTCCCACTGCTAAAGACCACTACGCACAAGCAAATTATTGAAATAAAATTGAACCATATTAGTCCCGAAATGACCTAGTTTGTGTCATGTGGATGTTAAACTCCATCTTTCTCTTTTAACACAAGGACAGTACAAAGGTGCTAAAATAGAAGCTGACACTGGATCACCTACCCTATTCATTCAAAAAGATCTTCACATAATATACTGAGACATAATGAAAATGGATTATTGATTGGTAATCTCTTGAAATGCATCATCAGACCACGATGAATGAGGTTTAGCAGATCATGTAAACATACAAATTCTTTCATACAAAAGAAATTCAACTCAACAGAAGAGAAATGTTGAAAATAATGATTTTATGACACACTCATATGGTATAAATTGTAACTTTTAAAAGCTAGTGTCAGTTGAAAAGTATCAGCTGAAAAGTATCGGCCAGATCTACTGGAAGCAACATTATTGCAAACTAGAGTGTAGTAGGATCCCACAAGTAGCCATTCAAAGGCTTATCTCCTTCATGTGACAATGATGCATGGTATGTGCGGCTGCTAGAAGTTGAAACACATTAATTTCATTAAATAATAAATTTACCTGGTTTTCCAATTCATTAATATTTCTGGCAAGTGCTGTAAGAAGTTGCTCCCATCCAACTCTCAATGTCTGAAATAAACAATAGTAAATTCCAGATGTCAAACTATTTTATGATGCAAATGTACTTTCTGAATTTTTAAAGAAAAGGCATTAAGAAGTTGAATAATTCTGAAGATTGTATTACAATATTTTCATTCAGTATTATTCTGATATTAAATCAGTCGACTAGGGCAACACGAGTCCATAATCATTTAGCACTAAAAAAATCTTACCTCCATTGTATATTGAGTATATCTATTTTCAAAGATCATAGATTCCTGGACTTCCTAGAAAAAGAAAAGATAGGTTGCCAGGCAATGAAACATATGCCCACAGCAGCTAAATTGTCCGAGCGGTCGACAAGGGTTGTCGCATATTTAGTCTTTAGTAAGTAATTGGGGGCATTTACAAGACAATTTCATACAGATCAGATTATAATTTTATTCATTTGATGGGTCACAAGGTTCTACAATTGGAAACAAGGGCCTTAACTCTGGAAGCAATTTACAAAAATTGTTGAAATTTGACAGACTTTTTGATTTACAATTTGAATAATGTATATAAATTTCATACAGATCAGACGATAACTTTTGTCATTCGAATGTTCACAAGGTTCACAAAGTAAAACAAGGGCCATAACTCTAGAAGTAATTGACAGAAATTGCTGAAATTCAGTAGACCTCAGTTTCACCAATTTAAATGATGCATATAATTTTCATAAATATAGGATGATAACTTTCATCAATTGAGCATTAACAAGGTTCAACAAAGTGAAACAAGGGCCATAACTCTAGAAGTAATTATTGTAAATTGCTGAAATTCAATAGGCTTTGTCGTTTCACTAATCTAAATGATGATATGAATTTCATACGGATAACTTTTAGTGTTAGAGCGTTCACTAAAGTGAAACAAGGGCCATAACTCTAAAAGTAATTAACAGAAATTGCTGAAATTCAATAGGCTTCTTCGTTTTACCAATTTAAATAATGCACATAAATTTCACAAAGATCGGATGATAATTTTTGGCGTTCACAAGGTTCAACAAAGTGAAACAAGGACGGACAGGGGCGATGGCAATATACGTCCACATTTCGATGTGGGTGTATAAAAAAACTAGTCATTAATGAATAGCTGACAAAATGTAACAAAGTTACATAATGCACCTGTATTCCATAGAAAAATTCAAGGAGTTACAATTCAAGGAAACTTTAGGGCAATGAATATTAGCTTATTTTATTCAGTGAAAATATATTCATCTATTTGGCTACATCATTGTTATGGGTATGGTTCAAAAGATGTCTCCAAGCTAAACTTTTATTAAAGATACTGATCATACCGGGAAATTCAAGATTTTCTCTCAGTCTTACCTGGTTAATTCTCTCAAGTTCATCCATATGAGGTCTGAAGCCTTGGCATTCTTTTTCTGTATGTTGAATTTCATTAAGCTGATCTTCTAGCGAACCCTTCATATGAACTCCAATAGCCGCAACAAAATCTAAACGTTTCTCTATCCATTCGCCAACACTATTAGCTTTATTAGCGAACTGTCGTCTGAGAGTTTCGTTCTTCTGTTGTCTCAACATTTCTTGTTGTAATGTTTGATCTCGTCTTGGTATCAATTGTTTTACTTCACCCCATTTGTTAGCAATATCCTAAAACAATAGAAATGTCCTTTTTTTATATACGTGGGTGTATTTTTTATAAAGTGAATGAAATTTTTAGAAATTGTTAAATGCAGTAATACTCAGCAGAACACAACAATGCCAGAACACTAAACTAGAAAAACAAACAAATGAATTCCATTACCATTAAAATATTTTCTTAATTAAAATTAAATTTTATTTTAATATAAAGCACACAATTAGTGCCTTGTTTTTGTTGTGAAAAGTTGAAATCTCAGCTTGTAAAGCCCTTTTCCTACATTTCCAGAAAAGGATTACAGCACAGAAGAAACTAAATATTTCAATACAAATGACAATGATGAATTTAAAACTGAAGACTCACACCGAACATCATTCAATGATTATGAAAATGAAAACACATTTTTATGCAAGTTACACTTGAACCTAGCAATTGAGCATGCAGAATTGCCAATTGCAGATAATACTTATCAAGAGTCCCACTATTTTACCGTTACATGTTGTAATTAAGATGAATGAAGACACCCATATATATACATATCTATTTGTAATTTGATTCAGTGTGCAGTTTTTGACCCCAAAAATCTGAATAATCTGTATTATACTTGAATGTATTTTTGCTGGATTAATGATGTAATGCCTGATAATTACACAATGAGAGAGGATAGCCAGAAGTAAGAACCATGCACCCTATGTATACTATAAGAGTTATCTATCAGAGTTTGTTGACATCATTACCAAACTACAGGAATCGACTCTAACTCTTATATTATTACTAAACTACTATCTCTGTGTTAAACTAGAAATTGAATAGGAAAGGTTTCATCTAATCTAAATGAATTTTTCAAATCTAGATAAAATTCAAGAGTGGGATATACAGTTCACCCCTAAAAGGCACAGGTATGACATACTTTTATAAATACCTGACCTTATTAGTTTCATATTGTACAACATATTTAATGGATTTGGCTAATATTAACAAAACGTGACTTTATTAAGATGGTTAATTAGTTAATCATGCCACTTTTAACTAAGTAAAAATTTACACAAACATGCTATGGAAAACTGATGTCATACCACATGAAGGCATAAAGAAAGACGGTAGAGAGAAAATAAGAGATAAATGTATTTAGTTTTATTATGTCTTGACTGGCGTTTTATTCACAGGTCAAAAAATGAAATTTATTCATGCACTTTAAAGAAGCAGTAGTCAATTTGCTGTTTTAAAGCCGCAATATTCCAGATTAAGAGACAAATGTTGACTTTCAACCAATACAAAAAAAAAAGCAGTCTTACTAAAAAAAAAGCATCTTGGTCCAAAATTACCAAAATTGATTAATCTTAGAGTAACTAATATGTATCTTAAGTCCACATATGTAGAATATAGGCCAAAAAAATAATAATTAAAATTGATAAATTCTATTGTAAGATATGACCATCTCAAGTTCACATTAAATTCTAATGATTTCATGACACTAAATTTATTGTGTTAGAAACATCAGTCAATGACTAAAACATAACACTGCGGCTTGGCTTTAACTTATTTTTAAAATTCGATTTAGAACAAATATTTGCATAATTCAGTACTGCTTCTTACTTCGGGTTTTATTATAATACAAGTCAGTACCACACAAGATATTGTTTGAAAAGATTACTTCACAATACAAGTATATCAATGAGAATTAGTTTTAATGTTAAGAGTTAAATTTGAAACACAAGAGAATGATAGTTCCACTATTACACATACATATATTTTTAGTTCTTGTTGTTAGATATAATTACCCATACTAACCTCCTAATATCACAGCAAATCATGGAAATTAATTCAATGAAAACATTAGATAAGCATTCACAAAACAAATGCAAAATCATGAAATCTTTTTTAGTTTTAATATGAAAACAAACATTAAAAAAAAAAACAGCTAGAGTTTGAACAGTGGGAGGAATGGGCATTTTACAAATTTCATACCCAATGAAGGAAACAATTGGGAAAGTACAAATTAATATGGACTTGTGAGTTCTAGGTAGAGGGTGCTGGCTGTTCAAAATATATGGAAAATGACAGGATGTTCAATGCCCCCAATATCAACACACCATATCACCAACTGAACAGATCTGGATGGATGTCAAAGACCACAAATGTAGCCCTCGTCATCAACACACCTTAGCACTCCTTGACTGAACATATGATGCATGCAAGTTATCCTATATCATTTGTTAGTAATATAACGGCACACTAAACTAGCAAATGGAATTACTACGATATGACAGGCTATAAAATTCTACAGTAACACTTGTTCCGCAGTTAGAAAAACTTAAAAACATGTGGACAGGCAGAAGTTCTCACAGAATATTTGCACATAATTAAGATAAATCAAATATGAACACATTTCTAAGAATATAAGTATTTTTTTGTATGTAATTTACCCCATATTATGTCCCTTTATAAAATTTTGCTAGCTTCAATCATTACCCTGAAGACTAGAGTTATGTCTTTTCCACCTTACATTAGAGTCAAGGCATCTTGTGGCACAAGACCAAATACAACAGAATGGTAGGTTACACAAATAATAGTTTTAGGAGCTGATATGACTGTGATCTATGTCTAAATGGCACTGTAAAATGATGAATTAATCAAAATCATGAAAAAGAAAGCCAGTATGAATAAAGTTTTTACCTGAGCATGTAATGTGGTGTAAGGGTTATCTGGGGGTGTCATGTTATATTGTTGGGCGAGACGAGCCACGTCTTGAACCAGTGTAATAATTGTATTATATTCTTTATCGGCTTCACCAAGAGTAGATTTAAATGTGTCATGGGCAGAAATCAAACCCTGAAATAATAAGAAACAAGTAATTATATGTAACTCAGAAATCAAATGAATGCTAAAAATCTACAACATATGAAGCAAGTTTTTAATTTCTATTGTGGCTAGGTACAGCCAACAATAAAGGAAAAAGACGTGTGCCCAATGCCGACAGATTAAACATGCTTGTTGTGATCTTATACTGTTGAGAAAAGTTTTCTCTACTTTGTGATTTCATTTGTGGAAAATATTAGGATAGCCATTTAAACAGAAAGTCAGCCCAGTTTGTCATATACAAAATTGAGTATGAACATCATAGTGTACCTGTACTTCTTCTGTTGTATGTACAATAAACATATCCATTAAATCTTCTTTAGCACCATCCATCCAGTTATTGAATGGCTGTAATAATAATATTAATAAACAAATTAGTAATATACCAGACATATTTTCAGGTTAATGTGTTTGTAATTATACATTACTAATCGTAGTTAACTTTGTATAGAAAATAACTTACAGCTGCTCTTTTGGCAAATTCAAGATGGAGTTGATCAATTCTTTCTAAGATACGTTCAGCTTCCTGTAAGTTAGAAAACAAAATGAACTATCCATTTCTATTCTTCTGCATACAAATGATGTAAACAAAACTGAGATAAATTAAGAAGAACTATAACATTATTACACAATGTTTGTAGCACTGGTTATGTGTGCCCTGATAAAGCATATTTTATTAGACCTCAATTCACTTTCTATGATACAATTCATTTATTATCATCTGGTTTATTAATTTAATCAACACTATTTTGAAATCAAACAACAGTTTGAAAGAAATGTTAACACACTATTAATCTCAACTTACATCTAAACCCTCTCTTCGTTTCTGTGTGGACTGTCCTAATCTATCCCACTGGTCACAGATTTTCTAAAACAAAAAAACAAAACATTGTTGTTAAACATGCTTCAGAATTTTTAATATGAATGTAGACAGTAATGTTATTATAGATAATAACAGAAACACTCTTCTCAAAGTTAACTTCAACAAAAGAATCTTTAATATGAAGTACTTACTTGACATCGTGTGTTGACAGTTGCTACATCATGATAATCTAAGGCACTGAAATATATAATAAGTTTTATCATAAGTCTTTTTATTAATCACAGAATTAATTTAAGTACAATTTGAGTCACTGATTGACATTTGTATTATTGGGACACTATCTCATTTTACATGACCTAATTCACACTAAAATTTTCTCAAATTTATCATTAACATTTGATAAAGAAAACAAAATCAAAATACTGAAAATGAATTGAACGATTTTTGCACTGATACTCCTTTCAGAGATTCAACTCTCACAATAAAATTTTTTGTAGTATTGCAACCAATTCAAATACCTGCAAATGATGATCAGCAGTTTAACTACATCAGATAATGACAACATCTAGCAAATTGGACCAATCAGGTCACAAAATATATGCTCATAAAAATGTGTAACATTTTAGGCAATACAACTAAAGGTCTTACTTTAATTCTTGTGCAATGGCTGCTATTTGTTCAACTCTGTCTTGGTGAGCTGCTAAATCACTCTCAAAAGCTTCATGTTTCTTTTTCATAGCCTGCATTTAATAATACATAGTTCATTCTATTAAGTCCATTCAATTATGAAATCAAGTAATCACAACTTAATAAGAAAACCCATACATTTTTCCTTTAAAAAAAATGTCTAATACAATAAAATATTGTACCAATGATCCCAAAGGGCAATCAAATTCAAAATCCTTAATTAATACAAATTACAATATCAATTGAAAATCTACATTTCTCTCACATACCAATATGAATTGGAATTAAGACTCACCTTAAGTTCATTTAATCTACACTTTTTATAATCTCTACTTTCTAACATATCTTCTTTACCAACAGCCCATTCTTCATGGATTTCACATTTATGTCGGAATTTCTGGGCAAGATGATCCAATCTTTCCAATCTGTATACAAAATAATGTAAATTCTACCACCAAACATGATTTTACAGACAATCAAGCAAGAAATATGAAAACATGTACTACTTAAAAGGGAATAAAACTGGTGATTAAAGGGGAACTACCAGTGTCTGAAACTGTGATATAGTCAGTTTTCATTTATGATTTTGTATGAACATGTCTCAGTATTCTATTTTGGAACTGTTGGAAGTAAAGCAAGGAATTTGATAGTCACATTTATCATGTCACTCCAGGAATAAACGGAGTAAAACTCCCATCAAAGTTAGGTAGCCCCATTAAAAACTTTTATTATTCATTTTCTCTTCTATCCAGATATAACTTGTGTAACCTTGGTTGGATGAATCAAGTGATTCATATCAGTGGTGGAAACTGTAACCATTTTACAGGGATGCCCTCTAGTAGAGTAGTATATTGTGTTATTATTTTATTAGTGGTTTGACTATTGGAAACTAAAGCATGTATTACAAACCTCTGTAATTCTGACAAGAGCCATTCTTCAAAGCCTTTCTCTGCCGACTCCAATCCTTTCCATGCATCAGCAATATCCTATAACATTTAAAAAACACATTGCCAAAAATCAACACCAAAACATTGGTAAGCCTCTAAGAAAACTATTTGAAAATCGTTTAATGTTTGATAACATCAGGGAACACAAACACACAGGAAATTACAACAAGTCAGACTCCAACATAAAATCTCAGCCAAAACATTAATTTAAGTTGGGCACCAACTAACTCTTAAGATGTTTCTTAAAACTGTCATTGTATAATGGTCGTTTATAATAAATGTTTTATTATTATTCAAATCAGTGATGATATAATTCTTTGTATTTCTGGCCATAATTAACAAAATAAAAATTCCTGTAAATCTAAAATTATGTTATAAATCCTGTAAATTTAAAATTACATTCTAAATTGTTGATCTGAGATAATCAAAGGAATCAATGCTATATATTCAAGTCTCTGAATGTTGTTTGAGGAATTTTTTAATACCTTGCAAATAACAATATTGTGAAGGTAGCATCTCTAAATGAAATGTCAGTCCAAAATGGTTCAATTCTGTTCAGTATTTACTGATGAATTAAAATTTTATCAACAATTGGCGTCCACTGCAGGAGACATATAGGATATAGTCAAACTTAAGCCTGCACAATATTCTGATGGGCCTCTTTTTAATCTGACTGAATCCAAGTTGGGAGAATATCTACTGTTTCTATATAGATACCATTTTAGCATGGATTATGTTGAGGAAATTTGGACTTTTTCCCCAAAACTGCCAATGATGCATAAAGATTTCAATCAAATTCTTACCGAAACAAGTTTTCCCTCTGTTGGTATATAAGCTGGGCGGTTACTAAGTCTCAAACGTGTTTGTAAAGTATTAAAACTATTTTCTAGACGAGCTTTATCTTCCAACTTGGGTGGTTTATGTTTTCTTCTGTAATCACGAAATTCTTCTAATTTATGCTGTGTACCGGGCAATGTATTGTCTGTTATACGATTTTCTAACCATGGTTTTGTTTTTTTGATCCAAGCTAGAAGCTGAAATTAATGAAAATTAAATATTTTAACAAATTTTTAAATAAACAAGTTTATTTAAAAGGATAAAAAAAAAAAAATAGGCTGTCAAGTTTTCAAAGCTGTGTTCAAATAGTCGATCAGATAGTGACAAATATTTAAGGATTTTTATGCAGCAATTGTACTACATGAAATTTCATGCTGAAATTCTAAACTTATTACTAAATACTTACGTCACTGGCAAGTCTTTCATACTCTTCCATTAAACGTTCATTTTCTTGGTTAATTTTCAGAACTTTACAAATTCGGTTAGCAGCTGTTTCAGCCTATTAAATAGAAGTAAAAGTGATTTACAGCAACAGATATGTTTAACTCAAATTATAATTGTGAAAATTAAATCTCAGGTGATATGAATCACTCTTGAATTTTTTAATTATCACTAAATCTTTTAAAGTACCAATTTCAGATTTTCTAACCATGCTTTTGTTTTGTTTTTTACCTTAGCTAAAAGCTGAAATAGATGGAAATTAATTTTCATTCAATTATCAGTATTTTTTTTTTACTTAGAAATTAATAGATTTATTACCTGCTGAGCTCCAGAGAAGGCGTGGTAATATGATGAGACATAGGCCATAACTGAACGTTCATCTGGTTTAGCAGAATTAACCATGTCTATAATACAACAAAATTAAAACTTTATTATTATACCAAAAATAAGATCGGCAACAAAAAGTATGATCAATTGAATTTGACAAAATAGGAATGTTGAAAATCACTTTTTTATGGTGCAGACATGGGGTTTAAAATTTGGCTTCTAAATAGCTAGGATCAGTACAACTCCTAGATTTTTGTGAAATGAAATGAAATAAGGTTTAACATCCTACTGTTCTGGTCTGACTGGGCTAATGACAAACATACGACACACAGTGTGCAATGAGGTAAATTTTGTCCGAACAGCTGCACTACAGTCTATTCTTATATAAAATTCCAAATGCTAAGGCATCTTTAACGGGCACATCAATGTGTACCTGGGACATCATTTTTTTTGTCCCATCCGAACGACTCGACAGCTGTCAGGCCCTCCGTCCTACACCACTGAGAAGGGGAAACCACACCGGAAAATCCTGAGGAACTTTCTCAGCCAACACCGGGATCGAATCTGTGATCTCCAGGCTAGCGAGCCAGTGTCTTACTTAGCCACCGTGGCTCCCTAGACTTTTGTCCAAATACAATAATAATTTAATATACCTAGGTTGACACCTGAACTCTCAAAAAATGTGCTATTATGTTAATTCAAGAGGGCATGAGTAGGCCTACCATAGCCACTGTAAGCAGCATTGCAACTAAAGTGTTGTGTGTGGCTGCTAGAAGTGGACACTCACGTTACTAACTTTTGATTTTTACTCCTTGTGCCTCCTATGTTTCACTGTAAAGTAAAGCTGTTATGACCTCTGTTGGTTTATGTTTGCGTGTGTCGGTATATGTCAATTCTAAAATCTTGTAAAAAAAAATCAGATTGCCAATTTCTTGAAATTATGTTTCAATTATATGAAATGATTCTTATTATTCAATATTACCTTCTGGATCCAACATTCTAGGAATATCCAAATATTTCTCTGCGATATCAAAGGCTGTGTTTAAATTCTCTAATGGATTTTCCTACAATAAATGATGCAAGGAACATCTTCATTATTAGTACTACCTCAAAAATATATTATATGTTACTTTACTACAAGATCAATGTCACAACATGGGTACTACTTTCAATCATCAACATGTATTTCTACTGTTATCTAAATAAAGGATTTGGATTTCAGGCTTTGTCTTAAGGAATGGTCTATACAAAGTATTTCTAATCAGTTTGATCATTAGCAGACTTTCTTCTTTTTCAAATTTAATTTTAAATGTTCAACCGCTTCGTAGCTAATTCAAGATAAGCTTCTGTTCAATCTCTGAACAATGCTATGTATTGAGTTCATTTTAACTTCAATATTCAAACTTCAATATTTAATAATCGTCAAGTAATAATACTTCATTTTGGAGAGGTCAAGAAGCTGGAATACTAAAAATCTATTATGATTTGCTTTTGTGAAAGGGTTACATTCATACAATTCATGTAAAATATAGATTTAAACCTACATGTAGATGATAATAACAATGGGCATAAAATCAGCTATCAATCTAAATTCTGTGAGGAAATCTACAACTAATATCATGCAAAGAGGCTTTAGGAAATTCACACTACAACTAAAAAGAAGGCAAGCTTGTCATAAAAATGATAAAAGCTTTGAGGAGAGACAGAATGAAATAAAGTGATTCAGACTTGAAATCATGTTCAGTTTTAAGTAGTGAGAGTTTAATTGCTAACCACGGTGAATTTTCTAATAGTCATAACTTTATCAACTTTAATTCTTTTTCATTTTAAAATATGTAAAATTTAACTTTATAATCAAAATATTCATCCAGAATAGATCTTGAATAAGTATAAAATAAAGTTTTTTCTTTTATAACATTTTTTTCATTTTAATACATGGAAAGTGAAAGGGGATGTATGGAGGAACAGTCCAGTGACTTCATATAAATGGGAAGAATTCTAAATTATGAATGTGAAAGAAACAACAAGACACCCCAATAACCCCAACACCAATATGAAATAAACCACATAAATAAGTGTTTTGGAAAAGGAAAATAAACAAAATCAAAAAGAGAAACAATTATATCTGTTAAATAAGACAACATGCTGTTTATAGAAGAAATAAATTGAAAGCTCAGTTTGGAATCCTACCTATAGACTGTTACCTAAAATAATGAACTTATGTAACAAGAGACAAAATTGAAGAGCTTACATTATTTATACCTCTCTCCTAAGCCACTGAAAATCTTACATAGATAACATGTGAATAAATCTATTTGATTTAAAAGGTGATCTGAAATCAGATGATTATTTTTATTAATTCATACTGGTTGACTTATTTTTCTAGACCCATGATTGTTTTTACAATATGTTCTACTTTCGATATTTTTTTTAAAAAGTGTAAGCTGTATCTTTACTTTCATTAAAAAGATCTGATTCTTAATTTATGAAAATGCTCATTTATCAAAAGTCCAAAAAGCCTTGAGCTTGTATACTGAAATGAAGAATGGTGCTGTAAATGCCTGTTTTGTCAATAACAGGATGTCTTGAATGGTCCCAATTTGTTTTCATATTTACGGGCTACTTCCTACTACAATAACCGATATTTAATGACTGAATATCATGGAGGATGAACTTGTTGAGCCTAAAGACTCACCTTAGATAACTTATGGTAATCTATAAGATCGGGGCGATGCCTATGAATCAAGGCACAGAAGGCCAACCCATCTTTAAAGCTGCAGAAGATAAAGATTATCAGCACATGCAAAAGAGAAATTAATTTTCTAAAGAAACAGAAATAAAGAGTAGTTTTTTCTGTGTCAAAGAATTTTGCGAGAGAAAATATCCACCTTATACCAAAAATGATAAATTTAGAACTGTAAATAGAGTATCCACAAAAGTCATAATAAAAAAAACCCAATTAAAACAAGAAAAAACTACTCGAGAATAAAAGGGAGCAATTGTTAGAAAAGGAAGTCCTTGTGCAAAGATCACAAGATTTTATAGAGTATTTTACCCTTGATAACTTGTAATAATCTAAAAGTTCAGGACGATGCCTGTGGATTAAGGCACAGAATGCTAAACCATCTTTCCAGCTGAAAAATGTGAGTTTAATTATGTCAGAATTTCATATAAAAATGCCTATATTTTACCGCTCTTCATACATGATTTATTACAAATGACATTTACAGTACGTATATTATAAAGTACGTATATTATAAAGTATGTATGTCTCTAGTGAAAGAAAACACTGTGGTACCTACCATTCCTTGTTTTGAAATCATGATATGAAAACTGATATCAGTAATTATTTAAACTGGTTCTACTGTTTAACAAAACTGTGACCAGTCAACGGACGAACAGTTTACATCCAAATGGCATAACTTCATCGAACGTTGCAATTCAGTAAAACCATCAGAGTTACCCCCCCCCCCCCGTTGCAAAGTCACGATTCTACTCACACCAGCCTGGTATAACTGTATGAGGACTTAATTCTGTGTCACTCAATTGCAATTCCATGAATACATAGCATTCTGGAATCCCGGCCATGCATCCTCTGCAAGTGTCAGTAAGCAAATACTGTATATAAGTTAAAATTATGCCCATACAATACCTGAGATGGAAATTTTGAACATTAACATTCTTATATGGGGCTGTCTTTCTTTGACACCATAATAATAGACCTTCTTTAGCTGTTAATTCTGAAAACATAAATGAAAATTTCACATATTTGATCAAAATATTACCAATATCATAAGTGTAAATTTGGATTTAGTTAATACAATTTTAATGTTGACTTAGGATAAGATTAAAAGTTACAATTGTGGGAATCATAATTTGTTTGAAAAGGGGTATTTTCCTTCTTTATTAATCTTAAAATATGGTCTTTTCTTATTAATATTAGTAGGTGCAGAGCTTGTAAAACTTACCTTCTACTGTGATATCTTGAATAGCAAATCTCAAAATAATAGTCCAAATCATACCTAATGTCATTTTAATATTACCATCTACGATTTCTGTAAGTACACAAAAGTATAACAAAATATTAGCTTATACTTATACTACAAATTTGTAGTCACTATCTAAATGTATAACAAAACACTAACTTAGCTTTACTCATACTCTCTTTCAAATAAAAATATCACAGCATTGTCTTTAATGTCTAGGCCTTTCTGCAAACTAACTCTCAGTTAATAGTGGTGCTGGCTGGTTTTTGACCATATATAGTAAATGCCAAGTCATCAAATCTTTGTAAATACTGAAGGGAATTGAACCATTTAAGGCCTATATTCATTTTGGAAATGTAAGTTTCCCAATATGGAAGTTTGCAAGGTATTTAAAATGATGATCAGACTTTAAGCCTGTTACAATACATTGCAATCAAGTCACTTTACATCACTAAGCTAATCATATGAAATTTTATATTTCCATGTCTTCAAAAAAGTAACTTGATCTCTAATTCTCACTAAATTACTTTGACTAAAGCCCTAATAATAAATGGTTTATCTCATAATACCCAGAGTGTTGGGGTAAAGTGGCACAACATAAAGAGAACATTTTTGAATGGACAGTTGTTTTAGCACCTAAAAGTCTTCAATGGATCCAAAACTTTTCAAGTATTTTGTACAATGAAAATTAGCAGGTAGAAAATATCACTACTTTCTTAAAATCGTGTTAAAATTTGTTGTTTGAAATGAAATGAAATTGGGTTTAACGTCCTACTGTTCTGCTCCTAACCTGGGCTAATGAGGACGGGCATACACCATACAGTGTGCTATGAGAGAAATTTTGCCCGGGCAGCGGCGCTACGGCCTACTCTTATATCGAATTCCAACTGCCAAGGGATCTTTTACGTGCACGCCAACGTGTACACGGGACTTCGGTTTTTTGTACCATCCGAATGACTAGACAGCTGTCCTTGTCAGGCCCTCCATTCTGCATCACTGACAAGGGGAAACCACGCCGGAAAATCTGGATGAACTTTCTCGGCCAATGCAGTGATCGAACATCGGACCTCCAGACTAGCGAGCCAGCGTCTTACCCATGTGATCCCTAAAAATTTGTTATTTAAAAAGGTTAACTTTATAAACTGTTCTGAACATGTTAAGCTATATCTATATTTTAAAATTGTGTTAAAATTTGTTATTTAAAGAGGTTAACTTTATAAACCGTATTGAACATGTAAAGTTATACAGTATTTATAAGCGTGTTCATGTATGTAGAAACCTATAAATAAACTTTGATCTTGTTCAACCCACAGACCGTGTACACTGAGGCTACATGTAATCTCTATGGTAACTAAATACTGTGTACACCAAACTTCCCAGTTAAAAAGAAATATGTTTTTGTTTTCATGAATTTAATATTTTTTAAACGAAGCAGTGTAATATCCAGTAAGATTTAAATTAACCATTTGAAATCTGGTCAATTACTCAATTGAATACCAAAATGGCACCAGTAACAGATTTGACTTTAGTAGTTCACAATTTATAAAATCCATTATTCCCATTTCTTTCTTCATCTCACTGAGAACAGCTTTGATGAAATTCTAGACTTACATTTATAAATAATCACTATGCCATACTGTTCTTACCTTCTGCACCTATGGATACAAGTTTCACACCTTTACTAGCTATATAATCTAATGCTTTATTTACGTTGGCTATTTTATGGAACCTCATTTTGCCACGGTCAGGTTTAGGTAACTGCTCCCCTGAAATTACTTCTAATAAAAGCATAAGTTTGAGACCATTTCGAAAATCCTCTTCTATGTTTTCTATGGATGTACCGGCTTTCCTTAAATGTGAATTGCACCATGCTGTGAATGTCTGTAAGTAGAAGAAAACAGTTCAAATATTAAATTTTCTAAACATTTGAACGTCGTCATAATCTCAAAATGAAAAAAAAATGGGTGGACAGGCAACGAAACAAGCGCCAACAACAGCTAAGCCGTCCAGACAGTCAACAAGGGTTGTCGCATATTTCTTCGGGGTGTTCCCACTTTGCCGGCAGGCTTTGATGTCAAATTTTGCCGCTAATCCAGAGTTAATCCTAGAACAATGGTGTTATAAACTATAGTCCATATCTTTTTTAAGAATAAAACTGTATTGATTTTAACAAATTTAACTGTTATTAAATAACATTAAATAATTTACACCTATAAAAATGTATTGATTTGAACAAATTTAACATTTATTAAATAACATTAGATAATCTACACATATATCATATGCATTACAATTTACACATTTACCTATTATTAAACAGCATTATATAATTTATAAATAAATGCCTTACAACATAACAATTATTTTACAGCCCCAGGCACTAAAAAGGAAATATTTGTTCCATACTGATTTACACTTAAAGTGCCATTTAATAACTGTGTTTTCAACAGGGCTCTATAAAAGTTGAGAGTGCCTGCGCACACACTTGAAAATGTGCCTGCAGGGTCATACTGAAACACAGGGATGTAGCCAGAATTTGGTGAGTGGTGTAAAAATATATTTGGCGAGCGGAGGGAGGCGAAAAAAATTTTGGGAGGGGGGCGTGGTCTTTTATGAAAATTAAACCCTTCTTGGTGTATTTTCAGAGCATCTGCTGCCTTTAGTATTTGGTTCAATGCAAATCAAATTTCCATTTATATATTCAAATTTTACCAAATTCACTTAATTTTCATCAATGATACAGGGATCTAAAAACTTTTTGACACCACCAGACTGAGCATAAAATTGTCCCGCCCCACTCTTGTTTCTCTGGATAGATAAGTTTAGGACCTTTCGGTATTTGTTGTTTTGTTGGGTTTTTTTCAAATATTACTTTATTACTTTGAGATTAAAAACGGTGTTTGTGTTTTATTTGAGTACAACGAATTATGACAACAGGTAGATATTGATAATTAAAAGGCAATGTCTATTTTGCCGGCAGTCGCGCTCTGATTGGTTCATTTTCACTTCCGTTTGACATGCGCAGTTCTCTTATTCCTGGACTTAGCAGTTTTCGCTTTGGCAATGATGCCGGCTTTTTCAACTCGTGGGCTACTTTGCCGACTGACATTAACCCATAGCCAAAACCCGAACCCTAACCCAACAGTTCTATTTGTCTTTTGTCTAACATTACTTCTTTCTCCGTTTCTTATCAAGGGACGGAATAGCCATTCTTGAATTTCTATGGTAGAAACTTTTAAAAGAAAATTAGATAATAAATGTAAATTGTAGAAAAGCATTTATAGAGGATATTTGTTGTTTTAGAGTGAATAACATATTTTATTTCATCGAGAAGCAAGAAAACTTATATTTTCACGAATGCGTAGCATGAGTGAAAATATAAACGTTTTCTTGCTTAGAGATGAAATAAAATATGTTATTCACGACAAAACGACAAATGTTCTATTTATTTTATGATTTTACAATCATTTTAGGTAAAAACAACATGGACTACTGCTAGGCAGTGGAATAACACTTTTATTTCACTGATAAAACGCGGTATTCCACTTACTGATCATAAAATAAAGAATATTATTCTATTTTGGTCGAGGGCGCATTTCTGCAGATTTTGTTTTTTAATTTAAGTACTAAGACTGTCAGTGGTTTTTGTTTTTCCCGTAAAATCGTGCTTCTGCGCCGAACTTGAAAGACGGAGTAGTCAAAATGGTGCACTATATCAAGAATCGCACAACAGCGCATGTCAAACGGAAGTGATGGAAGTAACGGCAAAATAGCGTAAACAGAAGTTTTGCCGGTGCCGGCAAAATAGACACTCTCTAATTAAAACACGTATTATTTGACTTGTTTGTAAAGTTGTTGTACGTGTCTCACGAATATTATTATTATTACGGTGGAATGAGTATCAGGTCAGGCAGAAACTGAGAAAGCTCTCATCGTCCTCCTAGTCCTACTCTCGGGCCGTAGCAAATCCACGGTCAACACAGGTAAGAAATAAAATAAGAAACATCGTGAAAATTTGCAGGCACGTGTTGGACAATTACGACATTCAAACCTTTAACATTGGAGTGCCGTAAATTGGTCTGGGTGACCTATTTACGGCAAATAAACAAAGACCGTAGAATAATTGTAAAATGAATAGACCTACATGTAGGCCTACACTTCTTCTAAGTATAAATAAACAAAATACCAATACATATTTCTTTAAACTAATTTGGGATGATAGGGTCTACTACGGCACACAAAAATAAATTATGCCGTGACAGACATGGTTTGCGTACGTCGGCTTTAATTGCCGTGGTAAATTTCGAGCGCCGAGTTTGTGTACAGAGAAGGACGAAGGGGTTTAAATACGACTGGGCGGCTTTCTTCGATTTTTTCTTTGTGCTGGGCGGCAAGTGGCTACATTTTTTTAAATGTGCCTGCAAAAAAGTTTTTTTAAAGCAAATGTGCCTGCGCACGCCGTGCGCATGTGCGCGGAAATATCGATGCCTGGTTTTCAAATGGTCAATTCTTGTATCAATTTGTCTATATTTCCACACAGATCGACCATCTATTTATATTAATATAGTGAATTGAATTCATGTTTGAAGGCATACGCCGGCATGAACTGTGTTCAAAATGTCATTAATTTTATTAAGACTATTAAGAGGGATTAAGACCTCATTAACACTGAACACTAGTGAACAGTTAGTTCTTGAGTGACTACTTTTAAACAGAGTATAGTTTTAAGATCAATTAAAGGATTAACAGTCTGCCGGCATAGTGGGAACACACCTTTTCTTCTTTTTTCAGTAAGGAGAACATTTACAACACATGAAAATTTTATTACGAGTAATAACCCATTAAGTAATTATCTGAAATCATTAGAATTTGTTTCAATTGTTTGTCTCATGACCATGAACAATTCATATTAACTTTAGCCTCTAGCATCCACAAAACTTTTCAAAGTGATAAAGGGCCATAACTCTGGCAGTAATTATCGGAAATCGTTGAAAATCAAGAGGCTTTTTTGTCAAATGACCTTAAACACTGTGTATACATTTAAAGTCAATCGGATATTAACTTTAGCCTCTAGATTGTCCACAAGATTTTTCAAAGTGATTAAGAGCTATAACTCTGGCAGTAATTATCGGAAATCGCTGAAAATCAATAGACTTCTTCGTCTCATGACCTTAAACACTGTGTATAAATCTAATCAGATATTAACTTTAGCCACTACAGCATCCACAAGCAATTGTGGACACCGGGTGTATAAAAGTCAGGAAAGCCGGCCTGGAAATAAGGCACCATTCACAGACATTGTCAATGTCAGGAATAAATTTGGGATCTGTCAGACACAATTTCTTCTTGTGATTTTACTTAAGTGTATCACCAGAATTGCTTTTTTGCATGGTCCAATGAGTCAATTCCCCACATCTGGTGAAATATTCTTAGTGGACTAATACTAAGATTATTTGGAAAGAAGCTACTGTGTGTCGGATGGGAAGTAAATATATAAATACAAAGTTTGTAATATATTTTCATAAATATTTATCAGATTTGTAGTGTGGGATTAGAGTGTACTAGCAAAGTTGTGATATGTACAGTAATCGATGGTGTGGAGAACGTAGAATTTACATTTTATAATAATATTAAATATTTATTTAGATGAGCTAACAGCTTATCGCCTGTGTCCGACACTAATGACAACAATCAATCATACTAGTCTTCTGAAGAGGCATCTTGACATGTACAATTTACTAACAAGTAACTACTTATTATGACTAAAAGAAAAACTCTCTATCTTGCAGGGTCATTTAAGGTGACTTAACTAATGCAGGGAAGCAAACCTAAATCAGCTAACACTATGGTATTGTGTTTCTAGACAAGTTTAAAGAGCTAGAGCTCCATTTGAAAACCCCTGAATCATTAACCTGGATAACCTGTTTGACAATCCACTCAGTAAAGGTTAACCATGGTCTGTCTATTCCTATATCAAAATATGTTGTTTTTAGTAGACCACTAGACTATAAAATGTTAGTACAAATAGATTAATGACAAATGTTCAACTGTCACAGTATACAAAGACAATGAATAAAACATGAATTGTCAATCATAGCCTACATGTATTGAAATTTTAGGTCAAAATGAAAGACATCTGGAAAGGAAGTCTTTTAGAGTCTATACTAGTAAGATTCTAAAAATATGTAACCTTATTTATAATAGAGTGAAAGTTGTTTATTTAACACACAGTCACAGAAATACTGCATTCAAAAATATTACTGTTATTTTTTTTTCTAGTTTTCACATTCCAATTTTCATATTATGGCTGTGCAGCAAAGGGTTAATCTGACTTTATTTTAAAGTAAACTAATATTGATGTCTTTATTTGTAATTTTTATTCAAATATCAATACTCGATTTGACCACCTCTTTTAGTATCAGAAGATTTTACTGTTGTGTACAGGTGTTCACATAATCATATACAATGTTGGTAGGCTTACATTATACATACATATATCATGTTTAATTATATTCATGATATATGTTTACAAGTAGAGCTATAGATAACTACTCCATGTGGTTTATCATAATACAGATACACTAACAGGTATAGCACAATGTACATCTTAACACGATAGATGAATTCGTGTTTGATGGGTTGTCTGCCTTAGCCGTCAAGTGTAAGGAATGTCAGTAATTTTATGTCTATTGATTCGACAATCAAAATAAGAATCATAAGAAACCGTTTGATGAGTTAAGTAGACAGTATTAGATAGGTGTTAGGAGAATATGACTCAGAGGAATTGATTTTGTCTTGAATACCTGGCTCTCAGGCCAGCATTAGATTTAGAGGAGGTTTGCCATTTTTGGTCATAGTGCATCCATGTTGTAACAACTTAA